ATATATATATATATATATTCAAGTATCAAGGTAGTAATGTACAATTAAAGACATTTTTATCAGTTTTATTTCTGTTGTATCACAAGACTTTTTAACTCCTAATGTTAATGATCACTAAAAGGAGTTTCAATGAATAATTGTTCTATAAATACAACTTCTCTAAATTTTTATTTGGAAAACAATGCAAGTATTTATAACCGACTTTTTGCTACTGTAAACATTTTAAGTTCATTCAACCAATAATGATAAACTTTGTGGCAATATCTAGGGTTGTATAACAACTCATAATAAATGCTGGGCTTTTGGTCTTAATCAAGTTATTATAAACTTACAAAATGTTCCATTATAATAAATCAGTTGAAAAATACAGGCCTGTAAGTCCTATACTTTAACTCCCCGAGAAAGACAGGAATATTTATGTACAGTTATGATAAAACAATGTACTAATAATTTTTCCCACTATCTCTGTACTCAAAAAGTGAAACTTAGATTATTGTATGCATTATCTGTAGTCAATGTCAATCACTAAAACACATTTTTTAATCTTTTCTTAAATGAATTTTACAAACCAACTTTGAGTTTGTGGCCGTCTATGATACAGAACAGATAAAATGCACAATGTTTCTAACTATGAAATACCCCATTAAGTAGGAATTATTTAATGTATAATGGCATTTTAGTAAATAATCCTATAGTTTTCCAACTCGTTTCTTTGTGGAACTCAAGCATCAGGTGCATCAACTATGCAATAAACTCGTGTCTAAGCGAACTATGATTTTAAGCTGCCTTACTCTTTACCTCACCTTGTAACAGCCAAGTTTACTGTTTGAGAAACTTTCCTCTAACTTCTGGGAACATATAAAAACACTTGTACCATACACTGGGCTAGTATCCACAACTGCTTGTAACAATAAGATATCTTAACACCTTGACCACTCTGTGCTTCTACTTGTGTTAGTATGATAAACATATAATCCCTTTTCACTTCATAGTGAACAGATATTTTTACTCTATATTTATAAAGATGTGTGTGTGTGTATGTGTATATATATATATATATATATATATGAATATTTCGTGTTATGCTCCAATAACATCCTTTCTGTAGCATTGTAATAACTGGTAAAATAAATTATCACATTAATAATTCTAAACAATATCTTCTGAACTGTATAAAAAAGTTTTGAGCTAGGTATGCATGACCAAATATTTAAATCAGGGAATACTAGGGTGCTCTTATCTACCATCAAAAACAGAATATTGGAACACCATAGAAATTTTGTCAGTAGAATTTAGATCAACAAAGAAACCCATGACTTACATTTTGGCTAAAGAAAGTTTTAGGTTATTGCAAAAGTAAACGAGCTACAATTGTTTTGTGGATTTACAAATGCTTTATAATAATCTTCAAAGAATCATAATCAAATGACAGGCTCAAAAGCATTAAAAACATGAATTATTGTTAGTTAAACATTACCATTTTTAATTTCATTTATTATTAGAAATTTTTCTATTCAGAAGATTTCAAATTCTGATCATATTTTAAGTAATAGTAATTATCAATGTATTGAAATTTATTTAATAATATGAGAATGAACAACAGTTCCAAAAGTGTTAAGTGGTCAAGTTGTTAAACACAGATTATGTTCTCTCTTTAGTAACTTTAGCATTTTACATTACAAGCTCTTGTACAAAAAAAAATCACTGGCACCATACTTCAGTCAAAGAAACCAGTGTCTTGATACAATTTCTTACTACTTCCAATCAAATGTCACCCAAAACAGTCCAGCAGTAAAGGCATCGGACTGTAGAAGATGGGTATGGAAAAAATGTAATAGGCAGTAACAACACCTGTGTAAGTTCCTTCCAGCGTATGGCTTCGGAGAGTAAGTGAAACTCCACAAAAGCAAACCCCCGGGATGCACCTACACGAGTATGCACAGAGTAGTACAAATATGATTAGTTTAATACATCACAGATGACTGACATAAATTTTACTCCAAGTTTTTCTTGTCTGTCATGGCTTTTTTCTTTCTAATTTTTTGGAGACAAAAATTTAAAGAACTAATAAATTCAAACCTACACCTGCTTTTTATATAATTGAACTTTATATATGATTGTGTAAACATTAAACATAATTTGACACATCGATAGTTTAAAGAGTGAATGAGCTTTGCTGGACTCCACACCTTGCATGACTTCTTGAAAAACAAACTCCTCTGCTTTAAATTCCAATGTCACATACTAAACAAATTATTAAAAGATATATTTAAATGTAAGCTTAAACAAAAATCCTATTCCTTTAGTCAATTATAATAACATTTTGAGAAGAACAGAAGAGTTAAAAAAAACATTAGGATGTAAAGTTAACACTTGCTGAATTTGAGCCTTCTAGATGAAGACTCAATAATAAAAATAAGAATGAAATGATTTCCTCAGTGCTTCCTAACTGGAATGTATGAATTATGTATTTGAAAAGTGGCAGCATGAACTTTAACAAGACAACAGCAATGGAATATTTTTAATATATAAATTTAGTCATTACCATCATTAGAAGTCAAATTTCGGTTATACAAAAATTTAGTAATCCTTAACCCTTTCAAAACAGGCTTGGTATAAAATACCAAATCCATATACACCTTTTCACTTGTTAAGTATCTATACTATGTCCTTTAATACAGATTTTTTAATGTAGTTTTTCTATTAAAAATTTGTTTGTGAATATATCGATTCTGTTTCTTCACTAGTTCAAGTGCAAAGTGATTTTCATGTTACGAGTAAAAAAAAAACTTTTTCATCCCAAAAATATCAAATTTCATTTGCATAATCCTTAAGACCTCCTTAATAGATTTCAAATGTTTGTTTTCAGTAAAACTTTAAATTTTATCTGTTATTTCCTCTATCTTAACTCTATACAAGGTTGGTCAATTAACGACCTCTTAACCACCAAAGAATAAAAGAAAGAAATCTAAATTACCCTTTTCTTTCTAGAATGACTTAAAACTGTAACATGAAACTACATTCGTTTATCCTAACAGCTTTAAACTCGTAACAGTATACAACTATTTATACCTAAATTTTGTTTTACTGCCCTTTGAACCATGTCTAATTTATATTTGCCCCATAAGTTGTATATCACTTGGGGAACATTGGGGTCACATTATGCTATTAATTACATTACTCAAGAGCAACTCCATGCTGCTCATATGCATGCCTGATGAATGCTTTTTATTATATTATTTAATTTACCCAATCTAACCTTAAGTAACTTAAAGAGATACCTATTTTTACATTTTAGTTACTTTATAATAATAAATAAATGATACAAATGAAAAACAAGAAATAAGGCATTTACCTGGATTTCCTTTTTTTACTGTCGACAACACTTAACCCTACTTTTTTTATGCTAATGGTAGTAGTGCACTAAATCATTTTTATTTAGTCAAATAATGCACTAAAGAACATAGAATAATAACATGCAAAAAACAGACAATGTCCCATAAGTGTCACAATTCTTCTGGCTTTCTGAATATGCCATAAGAACCATTACAAATTTATACATGCTAGTTTATATCTTTCCTGTGGGAACAAAGCTTGTACTAAAAGAGAAATTTACAATTCTCTGTTCAGAAAATAATGTAATATAATACATCATTTAATAGATGAAAACCTTGACTTTCTATTGGTTATAGGTAATATATAATGAAACGTGAGAACTATCAACAAATTCTGAAAGAGAGGATGTGACAAGAAGAGTCTTATTTTCTATTTGATTGCTCTGTAACCAAACAAGATTGAAGGCTGTAAAAAATATGCATTGTCTGAGCAATGACAATTTGATAGTGAATAATTTACATGAAATCTCATACTTATTAGAGGGGTGGTGTAAAAATTACAGAAGAGGGGATGCCTAAAGAAAATTCAG